CGCCGGAGGCGGACAGGGCGCGGGGACGCGGCCCGGCCCTCGGCGCTGCGCGGACGTCTCCTCCAGGGCTGCACGCAGCTGCTTCTCTTAAGCCATAAAAATCAGTAGAATGATTTATTGTCCACGGGCAAAACTCGCCGGATTCCTAGAGAACCTGCTCATCTTGCGCTCTGAACGCCGAGGCCGAGTCGGGCGGCTCTCGGTGAGCGGGACAAACCCTCCACCCCACACCCAGCCCCGCGCGACCACGCGCCCGCCTTCACGCCCCTCCTCCGCTCCGGCTCCGCCCCAGCCCGCGGCCACAACGCCGCGGTTCGTTTCCTCGTGCCGCGGGCAGACGCCGGGGAGCCCGAGCTTCTGCAAGGGCGTCCGACCAGAGGTGCGAAGAGCCGGACCACACCGAGGGCCGAGGAGCGCAATGAGGAGAAACGGCCAGTATTTCATGCAGCCAACCTTGTTTATTGAGAAGTCCTAGTTTTATTGCCCGTTTAGTAACATGTTTGGTTCCACAAACTAATTTCTCATAAAGCAAAGCACAACTTTTTCTTATAAATAGTATAAATTATTTTATTTACAGAAACGTTACAAAACAAATAGACTATATATTTCTTCTCTTTTAAATATCCAAAGTAATTTTCTATCCCTTGACATTTGTTCATGTTCTATACAGCAGCCAACACGAGTCCAGCTGAGATGCTCTTGATTACGTGTACAAATTATCACACTATTCACACATTTCAACACAGGAGATTGCTTTTAGAACCAAGCTCAGAAATAGCAAAATGCTTTCACAGGCCCTACATTCACACTGACAGTATGTAGTGTTCATTTAAATGATCTGACAATGTAAAATGTTTCGCACAGAATGTAAAAATGATTTTCTTCTAAACAATGAAACTTTTAACAATCATTTCTCAAAGTCCACCCCCGACCCCAGGACAGAATGAGACATTAAGAAATTCCTTGGCAACAGAACTCTCTCGCAGGAAGACAGCTGCCTTTTTATAAGTTACGCTTTTCGAATTACACAATTTTTTCACTGCTCTTGGAGGTACTTCTTTGTATTATACTTTTGGAATACAAATATTTTAAATATTCTCTTTTAAACTGTATTTCGTGAGTGAGTAACAAAACAGACACATGTAAATCGCTGGCTGACAGGAGATCTGGAACCCTTGGTGCCACTGGGCAATCTGTCACCAGCTAAGTACTGTGAACCAAAAGATCTGAATTGTAAAACACCTTATAAAATTACCAGCATTGGTGGTTTTCAACTCCTCCCCCCTAAAACTTCAGAAACAGTATTTAGGTGGAAAAAGCAAACTCCAAAAGTTCAACTGAACATTCAAGTCTTTTTAAAGAGAATCTGTCTAAGCTTAAAACTAGGTTCAGGCACTTTCAGTTTTTTCCATTAGTTTTAAATCATATACTATAACATACATGTGCTCAGAGTGTATACACAGAGCCACACATGCACACGCACGCTCACACTCACACACCCACACGCACACAACACTAACAAAAGAAAAGCAGTGTGTCACTTAGTTACATGTAGTCTACTGGGAGCTCAGGCAACTGGGAAGAAGCAATGCCCACTTCATCTGCAGGAATCCACTTCCGAGACATCAAGGGGCACAGACTTTCACAGAACAAAGGCGCCCCTTCAACTGTAAAGGAGGCAGGTTCTAGAACTACTGGCTTGGCAGTGAACCACTTCAAATTATAAAAAGGTATTTACTTTTATTAATTAATAAATAAATACTAGATGATCTCAATTGTACCAAAACAGGATATCAGAAAAAAAGACCTGTGCAAAAATACATATTTAAATATGTACAATTCATTTTTAACAAAATATGTCTTCTGAAATAGGGATATTTCCATATTTATAATAGAACAAGAAATCCCAAAATAAAGATACAAAAGTAGGTTTCATATAATTCTTTGTTCATCATTGCAGCACTTTTTTTTTTTTTTTGTAGGTTAAGAAAATTGCAGAAGTTGTCATGAAATTCTATTGGAAAGAATATAAAAATTATCTTAGTTTTAAATTGATACCAAAGTCTGTCTAGAAACAACCCAACCACTGCAAATTTGGTTCTTGTAAGTTAATTTAATTCAAAAAAATACCTGTACTCCCGTGTTTTTAAATGGTCTTAATTGTTCATAATAAAAAGTAGTTGTTGGAGAAAATAAAATATTTGAACAGTCTAAAATTTAATAGCACTGTTTAGAGTAGGTCTGTTTGTGGCAGGCAGAATCCAAAATGGCTAATTTCCTAATCCCGATGTTCGGTGTATTACCGGGAGACATAAAGAAATTCAATTAAAACCACAGTCTAAGAAATCAAAGGATCAACACTCGCTAATCTAAGTATCTACATTATCCTGAATCAGCTTGCTATCATGGATCCTATTCACATCTTTCGGAACAACATCATCAGTCTATAAATCCCATCACTAAAAACAACTTAGTTTATAACCATCAAGTCCCCTTGGCTCTGAAAGTCAGTTCTGCCCGTACCCATTGCACTTGTTACCAAGGAATCACTAAGTACGCTCGGATCCCCTCGCGCTCCTCCCCGCTGGGATGGACTAACCAAACTGATTTCTCCTAACTACATGAAACTGGCCCATCCGTGATCTCTCCTTACTAGCCTCATATAGTATCTTTTAAAAAACATGTACTGATTGATTGCATAATAAGTGAACAAGATACTGTTCGCCCCTTCCTTTAAAAAAAATCAGTATTTTACATCAATTTATAGCTAAAGTATCTGCATAAAGTCTTTGTTTTCTTACATAATAAGAATAATTCTGTAGCAATTCACATTATTAGGCTGGTAACCAAGTATTTATTCATTCTACCTGTTGTTGACTTGAAATTCCCTGAAACTTAAGTTTGTAACCCAAGAACTATAGGGAAAAAAGGCCGCACTGACTGGCTCTACCAGGGCAACGATCAGACCGAGAAGTTTCACCCTGTGTTCAGCCACTCTGCGCCTTCTCCTAAGAGGGCTCGGGTCTCAGCCTAGGAGCTCCGGTGGCGGCGGCCCGTCACCCCCAACATTTGATGGCGCCTTCTCAAGCTGTGCTGTTTTAACCCAGTAAGCTTTCTCTGAGGGTGGGGCACTACAAGAAATATCCCGGAGGCTCCGAAACACTATCAGGAAGACACTGCATGGATTCCAAGAAGGGGAGGGCACGGTCGGGTCAAACACTGCACACCTCATGATGGCCTCCGGGTGGGCACTGTGGGGCGGGTTCAAGTCCCCTCAGCTCTCCTCCCTTAGGGTCTGCTGCCCACCCTGCCGGCACCCAGGACTTCTTCAGCAGTGGCTGAGCCCGCGCGGGACACAGGAGTGCTGGAGGCAGAGATCTGCACTTACTCCCAGGGCAGCATCCAAAGAGGAAAGGGGCCAGTGCCTTGGAAATATTTAAGTATATCCTAATAATTTCACTTTTAAAAGGCCGTTCTTTAAAAAAGACTGGGTAGGACAGCCGACCCAATCTGACATACTGTCTAACATGAAAACCTAAAGGATAAGAAAATTCCATCTCTTTGGAAATCTTGGAAACAGCCCCCCACTGTGATTTTATCCTTCCCACTCTGACCCTCCCAATTTGGCGTTCCGTTACCAAAGCTAGTTTGCATCTCTTTCTCTCCTCCAAGCGCACAGAGCTGCGTGTGCGCCTCGCACGGCGAGCCCCGCTGTGCTCCACACTCGCTGCCTGCGCACCGGCGGCTTCCCAGTGGTGTGCAAGTTCGAACCTTCCGCAGCTTCTTACCCCAAATGACCTGCAAGAGGCTGGGCAGCGTCTTCCCGACACCCCGCACCAGCGTCTGCGCCGCACTTCTGAACGCTGCTGTAAGCGCCGAAAGCCAGCTTCCCTCTGGGGCTTGCTCAGGGCACAGCTCTCCCCTGTGGGAGGCCCCCGGTCTCCAGAGCTAAGGTGCCTACCTGCTGCGGCGGGACCTACGAGACAGCGTTGAGGTGACGGCAGGGAGAGGGAGAGGGAAACTCTACTGTGACGCTCTGCCCAGACACTCCTTTGCCCAGCCCATCAACCTGAAGAGCGGCTCCACGATATACTACAAGCTAAAAAACAAGCGACAGTTTCTCACAAATCGGCAGCAAGCAGTCCAGACCACCTGAGCACTGATGAAAGCAGCCCGGCGGCTGACCTGATCCAGTGTCCTTTAGGAGTACTCACTGCTACAGACGTAGCTCCGGGGAGATCCTTGGGCAACAACGGCCCAGCAGGTGCCCTTGAGGCCAAGCGAACTGGGCAAGACTCAAGGCATCAGGGAGTCCAGAGCGCTGCGTGCAGGTGTAACTTGTCCTCAAGAGTGTCCGGAGGGTTCCTCCCCACGCTATTCGCGGCTGTCAGGGACGTGCCTTTGGCTTTCAAAAAAGAGCGGGTGGGGAAACAACAAGGAGTAAGCCAGCGGCTGTAGACCGCCCCGATTCTAAACAGAACCGCCCCCCCCGGGTCCCACCGTGGGTGAGGCTGGGCAGCCAGCTGCGCACTTTGACCTAGCTTTCCAAGCCTCCATTGCCCATGGACACAACTTCAAGATTCAGTTTCAGAAACCTGATCAGAAGAGATGTGGGCCTGGTCTCCTAACTTAGAGACTTGTTTGCCTTTTGGTTTTGTTTCCTGATTCTGTGTCCTTGAAGGTTTTCCAGGTTGTTACGTGAGAAAAAAAAGGAAGTTACACGGGTGAGCACACACAGGTGTGCCAGCCCCCACGGCGGCAGTGCCCGGAGGCGCAGGACGGGCAGGGCCTGGGCTGGGCAGTGGCTCCCTGACGCCCCGGGCGGCGCAGGAGCTGGGGCTAGGGGTGCCGGCCCCCCCCCCCCAGTTTCTCAGAATGCCCCACGTCAGAAGACTGCAACCAGCTCAGTCAGCCCTGGAAGGAACGGCAGCTTACATTTCTGTTTCTCTAAGAGCAGCATTCTTTGAAGTATTTTGGAGCCATGAGTCCCCCTGGGATTCTCAGGGAACCTACAGCCTCCTTTCGGCAGATGTGTGAACTTGGAAATAGAACGTCTTGGGCTCACTCATCCTCTCACCTCTAGCCACGGCCCCTAGGGTCTGTGCAGCGTACTAAGCAGCATTCCAGCGTATGCTAACAGGCCGCCTCAAACATGAACTTAAGCTGGAACCGATATAAGAAAAGATCCCAAAGCCAGAGGGTGTGGGCCCTTCTAGCGGGATGCTAGTCCTCCCAGACAGTACCAGTCTGCGGGCAGCCTGGCTGGTCACAGGTCCAAACCTGGCCAGAAGCTGTATGAACTATAACACATTACAAACACACACAGACCACATATATGCTTCCAAAAGTGGCTAAATTTCAGAGGTAATTCCAGATCTGCAGTTTTTCTTTAGAACTGCTGACAAAAGTATCAGGGAGCAGAGGTTTCATGTGGCGGGGCCGCAGCCCCCACTTTCCCGAGGCACTGTTACTTCTCTCTGCTGGCCCTGCCCCTGCTCCGCTGTCTCAACCATCCTTGTTACCCAGGGGCAGCTGAGTGTACATGCCGTCTGAATGAAGACGTGGTGTGCCCAGCGACCCAGATGCGGGACGGGCATTACAACCCCCGGGTGGGGGCCAGGCTATCAGGACACCACGCTTCCAGCAAGCTTTTAAGGACGCTCACCATGAACTACCCAGTGATGGCGAACCTTTCCATGACAGACAGCCTGCTGTGCACGTGTGCCCCAGGTCTGCCACCGCTGATCTACTGACTATAAACCGAGAAGCACCGTGAGTCCCCAGGAGAGGACAGGCTCCCTCCAGGACAACTGCTCACGTAAGTCGGTTCCCTTGGGAGTGAGCCTTACCCAGCACACCGGTGAGAGTTCCCAACTCGGGTGTCAGTAAGTCATGGGCTTGGTGTACAGCACAGTCCTCATTTTTCCAAGAACCCCGCTTTAACATACGGAACAACATACTAATAGCCCCAAAGCTAAGCAGCTACTTACATTCACCGTCATTTCCCCCACACCTCTGACATACTGTTAATTCACACAAATATCGGAGGGAAGTTATACGGCAGTGAGAAACTCCTTGGTATTTTTAAAAAGTTCCCAATGTGGCATTTGAGATAAGCGCGGAAGGTAAGGAAAAGACGTAGAAGAGAGCCTCACATTTTAAGTCAGGGCTCTGGGGCGCTGCTGCTGCAATTCCTGTTCGTAAGCAAGGTGAGGAGATATCCTGAAGGGTGGAATGACAAGAGCAGAGAGGAGCTGCGGTTAGAGCAAAGGGAGCTGGGGGACAGCTGCCGGGGAAGACGGCGTGAGCGCCGGGGAAAGACAGGAGGAAGCAAGAGACAGTGAGTCGTGGCTCGTTACGGATCCGAGACCCCGGGGTCACCTCCTACCAGGGGCCCACCGTCCGCCTCCTCTTCCAACTGCTAACGTGGAATGAGGTTTCAGCCTCCCGTTACGCCCACACCAAACCCCATGTGCTACGGCCCTCGAAAATAGGGAGAAGTGAGGTGAAAGTTGGCCAGGGTGTCTGGAAAACACGACAAGCTATCAGTGCAAGTCTTATCTCTTTCCAGACCCCTCTGACTCCAGCCCGGCTTCCTTCAGAGGAACATCTACTTGCAGAGCCATCTAGGAAATGCCACCGGCCTCCCTAACAGCCCTGGGCCACCGCCTGGTGGCTCTGAGTGGGACCTCCCGTGCGGGCCTTGCTGGCGGGCCTAGTGCCTTCCTCAGCCCTGTCTGCGAAGGGCGTTATTCTGGCTTCCTTCCAGGAGCGGCTTTGAAAGGCACAGAAACTGCGGCGGGCGGGCCTGCTTCACCTTCGCTTACCACGGACTCACCCTGTTTTCAGAAGGCACCACGAAGTGGCTGTTCATAGGCCGATCAACTAACCCAAGCACACAGAGCTGTGAGCGGGCAACGGATGCAAGGGAGAGGCAGCGGGCACCCCGGGGCTCAGGGTCCGCTTCCTACCTGGTGAAGGAGGGAACTGTTCGTCAGTCCTTGCGCCCCCGGGATGGTGCCTGTGTGTTTCATGTGGACGTTGTTCACCGGGGGCAACCTGGCCACCTTGCTGGGTTTGCTGCTGCTGCTGTTGATGCTGCTTGGGCCCGGGGCGCACTTTCTCTTCTTTCCTATGAGCTTGTCCAGAGGAGTGTGTGAGTGGGGAAAACCGCCGTGGGAGTTGACGGGCAGCTCGCCGGCCTGGTGGACAAACGGGCCGAGGGAGAGCGTGGAGTCGCCGCTGTTCACCATCACACTCATGCGCTTGATGGACTCCGTGGGGCTCCCGCCAGGGGGGCCCCTGCCTGACTGCTCGTGCCGCAGGCTCCCCGAGTGCGCGCGGTTCGTCACACAGCTGAGGCCCGTGCTGTGGGAGGGGGTCGCGGGGGGCGGGTAGGGAGGCCCGGGGGCGGCCACACAGTTTTTCCTAAAGGGCTCCACGGAATGGGCAGAAGAGGCGGCAGAGTGAACCGACAGTGGGGAGCTGTTCCTGCGCTTCCTTCCTGAGCCGCCGCCGTCACTGCTGTGGGCGCTGTGACAGTTAGTGCTGCTGCCAGGAGACTCCTTGGGCCTCAGTGACTTGCTGGATTTCAACTTCTGAGGTTTTCTGGACATGGGGGACGAGGGGACGGAAGAGAGGCCAGAGGGCGTGGACGGGGACGAGGACGAGGACACCTGCCGGGGCTGCATGCCGCACGCAGGGTCCACGGCCCCGGAGGCGGCGGGCTGTGCATTCAGCGTGGTTCCGTGAGCTGGTGCTGACCTGCCGCTCGGGGAGGGGCAGGGAGACGGGAGCAGCACAGGCGGCGTGGGGACAGTGGCTGCCCCGAGACAGCCGAGCCCACACTGTGCCGTCGGCAGCGAGCTTGTCCGGTGAGGAGCGCGGGTGGAGACGGGCGGCGTGGCGCTGGGCACTGGCGGGATTTTCCTGCAGGGAGAAGGCAGTGAGGGTGAGGGGCGCTTGGCACGGCCGCTGAGGGAAGCTGCAGAGGGCCACCTCTCCGCCCTGCCCGCAGCACACTGCCCAAGGGCTGCGCTCCACACGCAGGCAGCGCTCACCTGGCCCCTCGCCAACCCTGGGACAGTGGCGTGCGGCTCACCCCCTGCACCACCTGGGCTTCACATGCCCACCCGTGTCGTGCCATGGCTCTGTGCCCCATCCAAGGACAGGCCGCGGCCTCTGCTCGGCTCACTCTGCCCCCACCGCGCTCCTCAGCTTGGCATCTCCTCCTTGGGAAGGTCCCCTGACCGTCCCTGTTTAGCTACCCTCAAGACTCATGCTGCCCCACTTAGACTGTGAAGCCACGACACACGTCACTAACGCCTGAGGACGGAGCAAGCCACAGCTTATGTTCCCCTGAATACGGAAGGCACTGCACGCACGCTGCAGGGTTCCGAAGTGGGGAGCCAGTTAGCGGCAACTGGGGGCCGGGGCCGGCAAAAGGGGTTCTCGCGGTGGAGCGGTAACATGTGGGCAAACTGGGGGATGAGCGGAGCATTCAGATTGTTAAGCCAGGGGCCCGCTTTTATTTTCGCTCTGTTTGGGGAGAAATAAAGCTGAGGGGCAGCTGGGTCTGCTGGCACATGCCGGCAGTCCCGGGTACTTGGGGAGGATCACTTAGGCCCTGGAGTTTTCGACTAGCCGAGGCAAGCCTCAAACTCCTGTCTCCAAACACCCCAAAACCACCAGAACCACCAAAAAACGCCAAAAACCAAAAGCAAAAAAAATCTAACAAAACAAAGGCCACACTGAGACAGGGGACAGAAGGAGGGCCGGATCGGAAGGCCAGTGCCAAGAGCGCCCTTCCTCCGATTCCTCGGTGGCCTGGCTGGGGCACTCTCTCTCCTCCGCCTTCGGGGGCAGAGCTGGCCTAACTGCCGCCCAGCGCTTTCCAGCAGCCATGCAGCAAGAGCAGTGCAGCTAACAGGAGGTAAGGAGCGCGCGTGCCCACAGCCGCTTCAGAGCTGTGCTGCACAGGGAGAGCACAGCTCAGGCCCTGACTCCGGCCCTGACCCAGGGCTCCTCCACGCGGACCGCAGAGGGCAACTGCCCCAGAGCTTAAACTACACACACAGTGATGACGTGCGAGTCATGGGAAGTGGCTCCAACCTGCAGCCAGGCTGCGACGCTGGGCCCTGCCCCATGCGGCTCACCGAGCAGGAGCGCAAGCTTTACAAGGAGACTTGTTAGAAACCCGGGCTCCTGGGCCTCAGCCGTGCACCAGGCCACCAGGCCACGCGGTGCCGGCCACTGAAGTTGCCCTACCGCTGCTCAAGGCACAGCCGCTGCTGGGGGCCCCAGGCGGTTCACAAGACAAGGGCCAAGGACCAGCTTTTCAGGAAGCAAGCCTGGAGAAACGAAAAAGTCTGGATCTCCCAGAGCGGCAAATACTGGTTCTTTTACAAACCGCTCTGTTAAAATAATTCCTGACCTTTTGGTAACAGAAAGCAAGCAAAGCTGAGGATATTCAGCCACACTGACCTGCGTCTGCACAGATAAAACTGTGAATATACACAGGAGGTGAATAAAAATGGCTTTGTCTGCGGGGGATAGGAGGCAACCAGGAGGGTAGGGGACACTGAGCTGAGGGTTCTCACCTTCTGCCTTTTTATAATCGATTTTTACTGTTCAACCAAGTGAATGTTTTGCCAATTTGAACAGTTAAAAAACAAATGAGCAAAACTCCTCTGTGACCATCCCGGGCCCTTGCAGGGGGTGTGGGGCAGTGGTCCCAGATCTAGGGAGGGTAAGCAGGCCCAGAAATGACAGGTGCTCGGAAGGGCCTCTTGGGTCACGGCCGCATTCCCAAAGACATGCCAGTCTCCCCGCTGCTGTTCAGAGGCTCCACAGACACAGAGCGAGGACCTCACATCCAACCCCTCCGCCTGTCACCGCCCCACGGGCCCCCAAAGCTGAGGGGCCGGGCAGTACGCCGCTAGCGCGCTGCTCCTGGACGAGCTCTGCTGAGCGGGGGTGAGCCGTGCCGCTGACAAAGTTTCTGTGGGTGCCTCAGAGATGTCATCTGAGGAGAGCTCTCCCCTGCTGAGAAGTACGGAACTCCCTCAGAGCACCCAAGGGTGCTGCAGTCCCGGGTACTTGGGGAGGATCACTTAGGCCCTGGAGTTTTCGACTAGCCGAGGCAAGCTTCAAACTCCTATCTCCAAGCACCTCAAAACCACCAGAACCACCAAAAAACGCCAAAAACCAAAAGCAAAAAAAATCTAACAAAACAAAGGCCAAAACAAAAGCGCTGGGCGGCAGTTAGGGATCGGCTGAACTGACTGGTGGCGCCCCACGTCAGGGAGCACCTTTCAGCTCCTGGGGCGGGTGCCCTGCTCCCCCTTCCCGTCTGCTTCAAGCCCAGGTGTCAGCTCATCACCGAGTGACGCACGTCTGTCACTGCTGTACTGACTTAAAACCAGAGGTCCGGGGCACAGGAAGGTGTGGAGACACATGCCTATCATCTCCGTACTCTCAGATGCTGAGACAGGAGGACTGCAAGTTTGAGCCCAGGCTAGACATGCCTGAGTGTCCCATCAGGCCACTTGTACCACTGGTAGTACAAATTTAGTAAGTTATCAGTCTTTTTTGCTAATAAAATTAATACAAAGCCACCCAATGGGACAGTCATGTGTGTATCACTGGTGGATCAAACCAGCAGGAATGTATTTAAAAACGGGTAGAGATGTAGCTCAGTGAAAAGTCCCTGGGTTCAGTCCCCAGGACATAAAAATAAAACAAAACAACACAACAGTAGTTCCAGCCTGATGTAGTGGTACATGCCTGTAAACTTATTACTTGGGAGGCTGAGGCAGGAGGATTGTAAACTAACCAAACAGAATAAAACAAAAAAGGAAATAGAAACCAAAAACAATCAGAAGTCCGTCTGTCCGTCCGTGTCTCCTCCCCCCCCCCCCCCCCCCGCCCGCCCAGGAAAGGAACAGCTTCTACCTCCCTGGAGCACAGGAAGATGCCTCCAGCGGAGCGAGCGGCAACACAGGGAGCCTCAGGGTATAGTTTTCTCCAAGTTCACAGAGAGAGGCAAAATACCTCTCCTACAAGCTCCTAGCAACCAGGGCACCCTCGCTGGACAAGAGCCAGCCCAGCACATCTGGGGGGTACCTCCAAGGGCTCCCAGGCGCAGGGACACAGAGCTCCCCACCCCGCCAGCCCCTCTGCACAGGCGAGACGCCACTTCCAGTATCTGGGGGTGTTCTGATGTGGAGAGAACCCCAAGCCCCACAAACCACTCCCCCAGGTCTGCCCGCGGGCAGGGGCCGTGCTCCCTCGGGAAGAAGGCCCTCTGCGCAGGAGGAACCGGGCAGATGTGAAATGCGGAAGCACGGGAGCACGGCTGTGGCCCGGCCTTCTTGTGCACACCAGTGGAGCCTCATCGGGTCACGGAGCTGAGTCGCTGGACTGCAGACCACCCCAGGGCTCCGAGCAGCCTCCCCAGACTGGGAGGGAACCAGGGGAGGGAAGCGAGGCTTCACCGGCCTAGGCTACTCCGAAGCACTCAAGGCCCAAAGAGCGAATCTAGACGACCAGCTCAGCAGTCCCATTCGCCAAGGCAGGCTCCTCCCAGCCCTAGTTCTCCAAAGTGCTCCTGAAAGGGTTTCCCAGCTCGAAGAAGTTTGGGAGGCATCTTCCTGCTGCCTGGCCTCTCCTGCTCTGAGTGACCACACATGTGCCCAGCCCGGCTCCGAGGCCTGCGTAAGGGCAGCAGGTGCACACCGAGCAAGGCTGGACTCCGCGCTTCTGGCCATGGGACTCTTCTTCCATGCAAAAGGCGCTCAAGAAACACCCGTGCGGCGAGGACGCACCTTTCGGAGCTCTCAGTGCAGCGCACGCCCGCACGCTCACCACTCCCCGCGCGTGCACTGCCACACAAGACTTCTTGAACCGCCCACCGGGCCCACGTTCCCAAACCGCTCAACAGCTTCCTGCTGTGCTCACCCAGTCCCAGTCCAGCCGCAGCGGGCCTCTCGGGCCTCAGCCGGGGCCATGCCTGCCTTCTCGCAGTGTCTCAAACTGTCCTCATTTCCCACTCAAGACCTTCACAGGTCTAGTTCCTTGGGGCGGGAACCCACCCGTCACACCCTCCTGCTGAGCTCAGGTCAAGGACTTCCTCCGGACACAGGCTTTGCTCGAATCCCCTCAGCCTGTCCTGTTCCCACTGCAGGCCTTTGTTAGAAACAAATGGCCTCCAGGTCCAAATCCTGGCCCCGTCACCAGCCTGACATATGACCTTGTATCTCAGTTTCGTTATCTACAACACATTACAGTCACTGGCAGGTAACTGCGAAAGATAAATATATCCTGTAAGTTCTGGCACCCGGAGCTCTCGGGTTAGTGACTGTCACTGTTGCCAGCAGCTCCCTGATGACAGCTGATGACAGCTCTTTTTTGGTTAACTGGTTTCCATCTCCCCTCATTCCACGTGTGTGGAAGTCCTTCCGCCCCAAACCCCAGGCCCCAGCATGGTAGGTGGGCCGAGCGGGTGGGTGAGGCGGCAGCTTCCCCTCCCAGGGCGGCTGCAGACAGCCCCGCACTTCGCCGCACCCCCCGCAGGCACTCACCTCCACAGCTGTGAGTTCAGATGCTTCTCCACCATGAGGCTGACGGCACAGCGAAGTCGGTTCCACCTGGAGTCAAACACGTAGTAGCCTCTGCCGATCTGCCGGCTCCCGAATGTGCAAAACTGGAATAAAGAACGTGGGGCACACACTTGCCACCTTGGCCCCCAGCACGCCGGCCAGGGTGCTCTCTTCTCAAGAGGAGCTCTTAGGAAGACAGAGCTGCACGAGAGCGACTGTGCGAGTTTCACGGCGGACGGGGAAAAGCGCCGAACAGTTCCTGCAGAGCGTGTGCCCCGCCTCTGAGCCGCACACACCGGCCGTCGCACGCGTGGGGATGCTGAGGCCCGGCACCCCCACAGGCCCTACCCACGCTGTGGGGGAGGGTCAAGGGGGGGGTTGTGGCACTTACAGATGCTGGCTGAGGATGATGACCTGAATAATGACAGTCCAGTTTTTCAACAGACTCTTCTTTGTCCTCGCCTTCGCCCTCCTCACTGGATAACCGAGACGCTGGCTCAGAGGCAGGCAGGGGAGGCTGTGGAGACTCCAGGACTGACGGAGGGTCGATGGGGGCACTCCCACCTTGCAGGGCAGGGCAGCCAGGAGGCCTTGGAGAGCAGAAAGTGCACACGGATCAGATCGCAGGTGCGTGATCGACCACCATAACTCAGACGCAGCAATGCACCCAAAGCACCTGGGGGCCCTGGCTTCCACCACCTGGGGAGGGACACACTCTAACCTGGGGGCCGAGGAACGAGGACACTGCTCTCCTGACCACGCAGCGGTCAGGTAAGCTGGCTGCCAGAAACACACGAGGACAACCTAGGGCCCGGCCTCCCCTCCAGAGCCACTCGGTAACTCAGGTCCCCCTCCGGTCTGCCCCGAGAGGAGGTGCATGCAGGATTTGAGAGGATTACATCCTGACCTCTCTTCAAGTTTCCACTGAATCTGAACTAGCAGGGCAGTAAGTAAAACAGCCGAGAAGGGATGGGCTGATAAAGCGCTGAGGGAGTGTTACCACTTCCTGTGGACAGTCTGGAGCCTGTGACTCAGGGACAGTGATGTCTGCCCTCTGCATCTATGATGGTCCTGGAATGAAGCTGACTTTTTATAGATGGAGAAACTTTAATGAGAAGATAGCCAAACAAAGGCCTTGCTAAAGCACCCACGGCCGGGGCCTGACCACACCTGGGAAGCCTCTTCCACCCTTGCCTCCAGGGTACTGCTCATAGGCTACAGGCGCAAGGCACACATGGGGTTGTCCTGAGGAAGTACTTCCACTCCGAGGCAGTCACGTCCAGGGTCAGGCACAGGAGGGAGAAACCAAAAGAAGTAGCCACTAACAGGCAAGCATGTCCCTGGCAGAAGCCCTGCTGCCTAGAGCTCAACAATCAGAGCTGAAACTCCTCACTCTCTAGGCCTTTCCCTTCTCTCTGGAAACTGGGCCTATGGTCCTTACTGTCACTGAGCAGAGATACAAGCACAAACACACATACTCCAGCATCCTCCAGCATCACTCCCCGAGGTCCACATGTGATGAACTGTCTTTAAAACACCCTGACTCATGGTTTCCCATGCTGCCCAAATGCCCCATCTATACACAGAACCAAGGCCCAGAGGAGCGAATGAAAACCACGCTGACACATGGACGCTGCTGGAGACTCAGGCTGGACGCTGTCCCCAGCAAGGATTTGCACGGCTGTACTTCACAAGGAGCAGCAGATGAATGAACGAACGCTGCCGCCGAAGCCCTGTGAAAGCTGCTTCTGCGCCATCTGCAGCAGGCCCCGGCTTTGCCCTGCCCGCTAGTGTGAAGACACCCGACGCTGAGCAGATGCAGCGCAGCTAGTTCTCGCTTCACTGTGCTACTCGGGTTTGTGTCCAAGAGCAGCCCTGACTGACACCTACTGGTGACCTCAACAATGTTTTATTTTCTCAGTAAAACCTACAGCATCTTCACAGTGAGCCTGAGGCACATCTCTCTGCTGATAGTATGGAGGTCTGACACGTCCACGGTCCACTCTCCGAAGGAGCGGGTGAGGCGGGGGTGCTTACCTTGGAAGACTGGGGGTGTGAGGTTTCGGTTTACTAGCTACGCAAGGCTTCGATTCCGGAGGAGTCACTCCGTGGGCGCACGGGTGCGGCTCCTGGGGCGTCCGGGGCGGGGCGGCGTGCGGGTCCCTGAGCGGCTGCAGTGGTTGCTGCGAGTCCAGATGGCGGAGCGATTCCTTTTCCCTGGTTTTGTTTTTGTGCTCGGCTAGTAACACATCAAACCGTTTTCTTCTACCCTGAACAGCCCTCCGCTGGGTTAAGGAATGTGTCTGCAGAACACAGAAATATCAAATCAGGAACCTCGATAACAATTTTCATCGTACATCCAAAAATAACACTCTCCATAAAAAAGCCATCTAAACCATTAATGTAAAGACGGCTTCACATTTGATAAATAGCAAGTCCTCAGAGCTTGACCTCCTCTCCTCGGCTAGTCTAGAAGCACGTATCTCCACTAACGGTAGAAGGAGCTGGGGGTGTTCTCTCCAGAAGGGAAACGTCTGCCATTCCACTTGCTATGCGACCGAGTGCTGAACAGCAGGTGCAGGTAACAGGTACGCGTGTTTTATGCCTTAAAAGCAACTTGTTCATTGAAGGTCTCACCAGCGCCATTAAAAAAAATCCTTCTGCCATCGTTTAAAATTCTGAATGCTCATTTAAAGGAAGAAACAATTATCTCATACACTATATAATGCAGAGTGTTTTTTAAGTAACAGCTAGAGAGAAACTCCCTAAACACAGTTGTTCCCCTCTGTTCCAATGAAAATGCCACGGAAAGGAAGAAATCGGCTCCAAGCATTCCGGCGCCACAGACTGCCCCTGACAAAGGTGCCCGCAGGAGGCTGGCAAGGTGAGGCGCAGAGAGGCCGAGGGAGCGGCAGAGGGAAGGAGCGGCAGAAGAGCGAGCCCCCAGGACGGACGCTCACGGTGGGAACCGGGACAACCGAACGCTCGCAGCTCCGGGGGGGCCAGGAGTGTAGGCGGCAGGGTCGGGAATGGGCGCGCTGAGGGGAAGAAGGCAAACCACAGCACCGATGGGTTCAATGAGGCCACCAGTACAAAACGCACACCTTACAAGAAAAGTCTGCATACCACATACATGTGCTAATTGCTGGTACTGTGTAAAACCCAGGTACCTCAAGTCTGTACTCCTAGGAGCAGGAGACAAAGTATGCCGTGGTCGGAGTCTAGTGAGATCTTAGTGGCAGTTAAGTCTGATCAACGTGACGTGCTTCTGCAGGCCGAGTTTGCCTGGCTACTCCAGTCTGCTAGGGTGTGAGTCTGTCAAGACCCCCAAGCCTCAGGAGCGGGTAAGTACGCAGTAACTGTCGCACTCCCAATCCCATACGCATGAATATAAATGAATTTGTTTCCACGCTTTCTTTAGATCGCACAATTCCAAAGTTGACACTTCAGGTGAATTTACACCGCTACACACTCTACAGCTGTACTACTGTGCAGGTCTGCACAGCATGTTTGCTGTACATGCAGGGGACTTCTGGGAATATTTTTCAAACTTCCAGTGCTGTAATTCCCAATGTTAAGCGGGTATGCCTCATGTAAAATGCTTTCAGCACAATAAAATTTTAGAAAGCAGGACTTTGGTCACCATGATGCATCACCGATAACACAAGAGCACCCTGGGGCAAAGAGACCACCCCGCACTGACCACAGGGGCCACAGCGTTGAAGCACCCCGCTCTTGAGAACCCGAAGGCAGGCGGGGCGGGAGCAAAGGGAGCAGGCTGTAACGAGCACTTGGAAGCCGAGCGGGGTGGGGAAGCGCTCACAGCCTCAGGGCTGGCTGAATCTGAGAGAGTGCACAGAGCTCCGCCACGCTCCCGCGACCAGGGTGGGGATGACACTCTATGCGTGTGCTGTTAGTATCCCACGAAAGGCAGCAGCAGTGTGTCTGGTGGTAGGAGTTTGTATCTAGAGATTAAGGACAGGCTTCGGGTGAGGGTATCATCAATCCCAGATGGAAAACGGAAGTCACAATATACACATGAGTGGGCTTTTTCCTAATTTTCAACAAATCAGATGTTGATTTTATTTTGCTTTTGTTCTTTGAGACAGGGTCTCACTAGGCAGTTCAGGCTGGCCTTGATCTCACTATGTAGCCCGGGCTGGCTTTGACTTTGCAATAATCCTCCTGCCTCAGCCTCCCAAGTGCTGGAATTACATGCATGCACTACCGCGCCTGGCCGAAAATTAGACGTTTAAATTTAGCCCTTCCCCCAAAAGGTTCAGAACCAATCCATGCTGTAGAACAAAATCTACCCACTGAAAGTACATTAGGAATTTAAATTGAAATTAAGAACCACCTAAAAGTAAAATTTAGAGGAACAAAAATCTTGTTAATTTTTAGAAAGCGCTTTTATAATTCTCCCCCCGGAAAAGATTTAAAATCATGTACTTAGAAGTACAGTAAGCTCCCGACTTACGAACATTCACGTTTCGAACGTTCACAGAGGTACTGCGGAAGACACGCCGTGCCGGCTTCAGCACAATTCTCCCAGAACGGACCTCGCCTGTAGGTCGGGGACTCACTGTAGTGATTCTGAAACTCTAGAAACCCTTCTGAAGATCAGCCGGGGCCGCCCTGGAGAAGTGCACGTCCACAGAGATGCTCATTTACGTGGTGGACGCACTGATGCCCCAGCCCAGCCCACAACAGCTCTCCCTTCACAGCAGGTGAAGCACCTTCGTACACTAGCAGATGGTTTACCGGGAAGAAGGGAAGGAGGATGAGGGGAAGGAAAGGAGGAGGAGGACCATTACTTTCTCCTTAATTTATGTGTAAGTGTATTTTCTCTAATATTTTTAAAGAAACTACAAAGTAAGGCAATCTCAAAGTCTAGGGTTTTTTTTTTTTTTTTAGCAATAATAAATTTTAATTTAGTTTTTGTAAGAAGCTAGACAGAACTACTCAGAGTACTGCAAACCACAAACTGTCATTACTGAAAACAACCAACACCACGACAGACAGGCCAGAGCCCACACTAAGGTTACAGATCTTGAAAAGGTGGTCCTTTCACGTTTCAGAACACTTTAAGAATATTCAGATATTAACAAAGGACACTTCTGGACTTGTTTGAAGTCAGTGCAACTGAAACCACACAGAGTAGCTTCTCATTACATTTCTATGCAGAATTATTGAGTCACGGAAATAACAGACTGTTCAAGAAAAAACACTGTTGTCCAGGAGTATATAAAATTCCCTAAAAACAGAATGACTTCCAAGAGTATAACTTGTAACACCACCTCATGTTTTGTCAATGTGAGGCTTTCTTCCAAAGAACCAAGCTTTTCCATCTTTACACCGCTCAGCACAAAGCACACGGTGCAGGGTCTGCCGTGGCCGGCAGTGCGGCACCCCCGGGGGGCTGCGCTCCCCAAGGGCACCTGGCTCAGGCGCTCACCCACCTTACACGTTAGAGACCGGGTGCAGGGCTTCTTGGTGTCGAGATCAATGACCCCGCAGTGGATGTCAGGATCAAACTCTCTCTCTGTCAAAAGCACACAGACATTACAATTGGCTTGCCAAGTACTCCATCTATTTTGTAAAGAACAGGAGAAATCTCAAGACAGACAAAATATAAACAAAAATCTATCACATTATCAATAAATAACACCAACGGATGGATGGATAAGGAAATGTAAATACACAGGGGAGCACTATTCAGCCACAAAGGGTGAGTCATCTGTAGGAAAATGGGTACACTTTTAGCCCACACTCTTACGTGAAATAAACCAACACACAAGCTCAAATACCACAGCTTACACGAGAAACCCGAAATATAAACGAAGAGGAAAGTAAAAGCTACATGACACACACCAGGGGCACAAACTTTTTGGAAAAGGGGGTCAAGGGATGGGACGGAGGGTGGGGTGTGAAAGAGGATAAAGGAGAATTAAGGTAGTCATGAGCGCGTACCAACCCCCCCCCCCAAGAATGTGGCCATTCCATATTGCAAACAGGTAGTAATGAAAATTAAAGATGGTGCGAGAATACGGAAATGGAGCAGCAACATCCCTAAGACTACAACTGCCTTCGGATGATGACAGGAAAACGTCACGTCAGCATGACGTGTCAGCAGTCTGGAGCCACACCACTGGACAGCTCTTCTCATGTCACCGAAGCTCACGCACACACGCACCAGCGGGACGAGACCGAGCACACCACAGCAGCTTCCTCCCCAGTGACGCTGGACTTACAGACAGCTGTCCATCTGCTCCCTGTGGATGCCCACTTAAATTACACGGAGCACTGGGAAGTTACCTGATAATCTCTTATTTAAAAACTTCTTATTACTGGAACTGTCTTCAGACTTCTTCTCCAGAGTGGGCGGTGCAGAAAGCCCTTTGCCGTTCAGCATCTGTCCAGGTGAAGGCAGGGCTGGCTTTGGTATTGAGGGGCAGTTAAGGCCAGGCTTGACTGAGGAACTCACGGCAGCGGGGCACGGCGGCACCGCCGCGGGTTTCAGTAGTGCTCCATCCATCTTTGGATGAATCTTCTCCACTTTCACCGAGGGCGTCATGCTGCGGTGGAGGCAAGCAACAACACCTGTGCCTGAGTGCCCCGCAGCCCCCAGACAAGGGGGCGTCGGAGCCCTGAGGGCAGCGCCCAGGTCTGCCGAGCCAGTGACAGGCCAGCCTCTCAGATGCCCCAGGGAGGGTCTCCCGGATTCCATCTCTGAGGCCTGCTGCATAGGTGAATCCCCAAGGACCACCAAATTTGTTTGTTGTTCGTCATTCTGGAAAAATTTTACCCATGGACCTAGGGGAGACTTGGACCTGATAACCAACACAATTTCTGCAACAAGCAAAACATGAAAAAGCCTGAAAGGACCAAAGAATCCCCTAGCACTTAACCACTGTTTTAGAGAAAGGTACCATCAAAATAAAACAAACTTCCAAGTGAGCAAATACTGCATTTCCCAGAAATGTCACTAAAGACTTAAGGGAACTCAAATGTAACATCAAACACAGATTCCTAAAACTATCTCCAAGGCAAGGCTCCCATCAACGAGGAAGACCCAAGTTTACTTAGGACACGACGTGTCCCTGAAATACTAGTTCTCCAGTCACCAAAACAAGGTTTCTATGACAGGAGCTTAGAACGCAAGCACCTCGAACACAGGGTGAGCGCCGAGGACCCATGCCATGAACATGGACTGACTTCTCTCGGACCCTTCCTGACACTCCCATGTTCTTGGTAACCCGATGGTGTCGGCAGGGTGCTAACAGGGGCCTGGTCCTTTCTAAGGCCCCAGCTCCACCGGGAGATCTGGAATGGTGACGTTTTACGAACTGCTCAGTGGAATCTGCGCTCTCAGGGCTGTTACACTGGAGAGTGACTTACACGTCACGCTGGTGTTTTCTTTGGCTTTCGGGCAGCTAGGAAGTGCTGAAAGCCAAGCTTTCTGAGCTGTACTTCTGACAAATGAGCCAGGGCTGGGGGCTTAGCAACTGGGACAAACAGCCCAAAACAGCCGCACCTGGAGCAGCCTGACAAGAGCAGGGATGCTGGAAGACGGCTCGGCCGCGCCCGGCTGGCAAGGTCTGGAGCAGCAGCAGGTGCTTGACCCTGCTCAGAGATTAACCAGCTACCGCCGCTGGGACTCCTGTGCAGCACACCCTCCACAGGGAGGCGGGCAGGGAAGGCCACCCAGCACCAGGCCGAGGGGCGCCACGAGGAGGCCCGGGATTTCCAAGGAATTGCTCAGCTGCTGCTCCACAAGATGCCACAGAGGCTGCCGACTGCCAGAGCCCCGGAGACTTGCCAAGCCTTGCCCAGAGTGTGAGCCTCTTTCCGCCTTTGCTGTGACATGAAGCCAAGGCTGGAGAGCACATGCTGCTTCCCTGCTTCGTGGGGCCCAGAAAAGCCTGGAGCGGCAACTGGGAGTCCCTTCCCCTTGTAGTACCAGCTGGGCATCGTTTGTTTACCATCCCCCGTGGCCAGACACAGGCGGCCACCTGACAGGCCCTGAAGGAACAGCACCAATAACCGTGCGCCGTGCCAGTTATCCTTAGGCCCGCCCTGGCCGGAGCCCTCAGCTAGGCAGTGACACAAGCAGGAGCTGAACTCAGGCCTATCGACTTGAGGTCTTCTCCAAGTTCCTCAACTCAACCTTTTTTCTTTTCCTTTGGAAAATGGGGATAACAATACCCACTCCACAGGGATGTTGTGATCATTAAATGACACAGTACACCGAGTTTAGTTTCAGGAGCCAGCTGCAGCAAAGATCAGTACATGTTTACTAACCTCATCAGTGCTGCTCTTACTATTCTGAAAAGTCCCCGAGGTAAGACCGGGAAACAAAAAGTCTTGAGTTTTTAAGTCAACATAGTCTTGAGTGCCCTGGGGCTCCCACTGACAGGCCTGCACACACGGTGTGTTCCCAGCAGGCAAGTGTGAGCACCTCTGGTCATACTCACATTCTGCTGTGGGGGCCTCTGCTCTGCTGAATGGGGTGCATTGGCCTGGTGTTCCCCCTGAGCTGCGGTTTCTCTTTGGGTGACTTTAGTGACCTGGAGCTGGACGAGGATGCGCTCACAGCCCCTCCAATGGAAGAGCGGCTGCTTCCACTTGCACTGCCTCCCTTGCTTTTGGACAGAGAAGGGAAGAAGGGAAATACTGAAGTGGGAGGAACGGCCAAAGAAGGCTTGTTGGATGAGCTATGTCTTCTTTCTGAAAAGGAAGAGAGAAAAAAGACACCATATTTCAGGCAAGCCGCAAATGCAACTCTGGAAAAGCTCCCTGCCATCAACACATCCAGGTCAAAACGCGTCCTTAAGCAGGACCATGCCACAGGCAGGAGCTTTCAGAAAGGGCCTGTCTAGGCCCCACAGACTTACTCAGCGTTCTACGACTAGCCCTCCCCTTCCCGGCCACCTCGGCATGAAGAGGCATCACAGACACCCACGAGGAGATGGAACCCCCGTTCTGAGCACAAGCCACGCTGCCCTTCTGCTTTGGTATGCTAGAAATGAGCCTCCCTGGCTCCAGCTCACGTCCAGCGAGAGGAGAAGCAGCCACTCATCTGTGGTGCTCTGCTAATCCACACCGTATGGGGATCCTTCCTTCCTTTTTCTTTCTAGCATGGTACCTTTTTCATTTTCGAAACAGCAAATATTAAGAAACAAGTTTTATCTTTTTTTTCCTATCACTACCCACCAGCAAATGACACCAAATGAGAAGGCTTCTACGGTTCTCTTATCATTCCTTAAGAATCTGTGTTGAAATTTTCCAGTGACTCATTTTTTTAAAAATTATCTCCCTTGACTACAAATGGCATAGCTCTGGTTCACACCGCAAAGATGCCAAAGGTGCAAGACAAAAATACCACAAATAGCTATGCCTGTTTTTTTAAACCAGGAAATAATTCATGGTTGAGTACAGACTACAAAGTTTAACTAAGACTAACTCTATCTACCGGAGAATTGTTTCCTCAGAGTAAGGTGACCCATACTAATATAAACCAAGAGCTGTTGAGAAATGTTACCATTGCAGGTTAATTAATGGTAACTTTATTTACTTCAGAGCCTGTGATAGCAACTGAGTGGCTGTCTTCAAACATACTCATAATTTAAAATCACACATGCGCTTAACTCCAAGTCGTACATGCAAATCCATGCCGAGGAGTCAGAGTGCGGGCGCGGACGTGCACCACGACCACCGAGCGCGAGAGCAGGGCCTCTGCCGCGCTCAAGTGCTGACCTCCGGAGCCGCCCAGGAGCCCACAGCCCTTCCGTGATGCGTGGCGCATGCGCGGCGCCTGGCTCCCGGAGGCCCGCTAGGCCAGCAATGCTGTAGGAGGCACTCAAGAGTCTGGTTCACAGCAGGACAGAGTCAGGCTCTCCACAGACAAACTCAAGTTCCCCAAATCTCCCACCGAAGTCTGTGATCCAGTCAGGAAGGCTAACAGGAGAGTGATCGTCATGAAAGCCTCTTTCTCACTGCCCACGTGTGTTTAAGGGAGGGAGAACGAAAGTAACTATAATAATCCTTTGGACTGGGCACGAGCTGTTCTGTTATGAACGTGGTCTCCTCTGTGATTCTAGAACATTCTGAACACCCTTCCACGCCGCAGCACTCATCCCCCACGATCACAAACGCGTGTTCATAGTGCTGCGTCCTGCCTCGGAGGAGGAGCCTCACCTCTCATCTGTACAAGGCAAACCACGCAACGTCTGTCCTCAGTCAACACTTGTAAGACTGGCACAGCTTTTCTTTGCGAAAGGAGTGATTTCCAGAAGACCCCAGCCCAGTGGTTCACAACCTTGGCTACACACAGGGATGGCCTGAGGCGCTGTGGAATACGCTGACGCCCCTACCCCTCACACATCGGGACTTCAGCGGGCTGAAGCACACGGCCTCGGTACCCACTTCCACAAGCTTCCCTGTGTGGCACCACTGTGCAGCCGACGCTGAGCGCCCATCCTAGATGGGCAGACGCCTCCAGAGCCGCATCCGTGGTGAGCGAGCCCCCGTCTTGTGGCACCGCATACTCAGGCCTGTCGAACGAAGTTCTCGACTGCTGCTTGTCCTTAAAGGTGTGTTACAGACTTCTATAACACAAGCTATTTTCATCATTCTTACCAAAGTCACATAAAATACTATTTTTAAAAACTCAGCATTTTTCTTTATGTTATTTTCAACTCTTTCATTCCCTCTTCCTTTGGTAGCCCAATTCTGCCAAATCTCTCTTGGAGGCACTCTCGGTACCCTGGACAGGACAATTCTACATTCCCGGACCCCTACATACTTCGTGACCGTGCCCTCTGCCCTTCCCACCCCCATCATTTCAGAGGGACTTCAGAGTGAAGCAAAGTGTCCTCACCCTCAAATGAGAGCTACTTCCCCAAGGCCACGACACAGTAGATTAGTAAGCTTGCCGCACATTTTCCTGAAAACATTAAGATGACAAAATACTAAAAATTTTTTTATCCACGGTCATCCGCAGAAAGTACACCGTGTTATGCCCTGAAGAGTACATCTTTAGTGTACTACTAAACTTCATGTCTACGTTACAAAGAGAGGAAAAACCCCCGCTAGAACTCTGGAGCTAAGAAACATGCTCCCTGTGTTCTCTGAGCACCAGAACTCTCAAACCGTTGTCTGAGAGCAAATACACACACAGCTCTCAGCTTATGACAGTTCAACTTGAGAGTTTTCCGCTGTTACTGCAGTGCACCGCGACGGGCACTCAGAAGCGCTGCCCGTCTCCTCCCGGCTCTTTCCTGGTGTTGGGCAGTGCGGGGCTGCAGCTCCCGGTCAGCCTCGTGCCCCTTACAAGTGCGCCACCCAGACGTCAGGATGTTGGGCGGGTTAGGTGCCTTGATGCAGCCCGGACTTACAGCGTGTCGCTTACCACGGGGTTACTGGGATGCAGCCCCACCATTACTTAAGTAGCATTTGTATTTTCTCTTAAGAGCAAATGATTAAATAAAATCTCAATCTAATTAAAAGTAATCAAGTCTGCTATAATGGTTGCTTCCCAATTTAAAAAAATTTTAAGTAAAGCCTGAATTGGGAACGTAGACTTATCCCAAAGCCACTGCTATCACGAGGGACAGCTGGAGAATCCCGCCTTTGTGTGTCTGGGAGCATGCCAGGTGGATGCAGAGAGCCACACCTGGCACAACTAGGCGCGCGGGAGACACCCACCGCCCGCCAGCTCACCACGGCCGTTCTGAGGTCACCCGTCCGCGTCTGGCGTTGTGCCTTCCTGCTGGGTTCACGTGGCCTCCTTCCAGCCCGTCTCAACAGTTCATAGGCCGCAGCCCTCCCCGTGCCCACTTCAAAGGCAAACGCCAGCTCTTTTGAAGGCAAACTATCACTTTATTCTAGTGTTTATGTACTTTTAAAAAGCATCTGACATATGTAAGGCTGTGCTAGTTCCATCAGACCCCGATCTTTCTGTGTGTGTCGCTAGTAAGGTTTCTGAGTGTTACGCCATAGTGCATTTTCTCAGTAAGCCACACGAGGTTTTCCATTGCACAATTCTGCATAGTGCAGCAATTTTTAAGGAATGAATACTCTGTTATAACAGAACTAACTTTGGGCTTGTCCTTTCAACTTTCTCTTCTCATTACCATTCCCTTCCCTCCCTGTTTTGTGTGTGTGTGTGTGTGTGTGTGTGTGTGTGTGCACACGCGCGTGCGTGCGCACACTTGCTTGCAGGACAGGGAACTGAAGCCAAGGCTTTGCCTGAACTACATCCTCAGCATCGCCCTCACATTTTTCATTACTGATTTTGAGACAAGGTCTTGCTGAGTGGTCCAGGGAGTCCACCACACCTGCTCCGTTTGCTTTCGTTAGTATCTTCTGGCACAAAATGGATTGTGGATTCAGTATGGATTCACTCAGTATGGATTCAGCACTGGAAAATCAAGACTCAAAGCTACTCTAATGTTACAAGTCTGCTGACACATCAACATTTCTAAAAAAATTATAATTACTTTAACAAAATTAAGAACTATTTTACCACCTCCTGTGATCCAGACTTCTCCAAACTTCCTAACACTTACTAATTTATGAAATGTTTTCTCAGCGCAGTTTTGTTTGGTGTGTTCACTGGATTACAAACTTTGTTAAAAAATACAAAACACCTCAAAAAAATAAAATAAAAGCTATTTTAAAACTAAGAATGGCAATCTATCGTGTGAATTTTCATTCACTAAAACTTGAAACAGGTTGTGTGTATGTGTGTGTGTGTGTAACTGACATCATGGCTGAAAAGCGCCAGCTCCAACCCTTGTCTTGCCACTGAATTAAGTTGTCCGATCACTTCATGGACTGGTAACTCTGAAGGACAGCACCGGTTTGTCCTCACAAGACGGAGAAGAGTCAAGTCTTATTACAGTTGGGTCTGACTCCTCGCAATCCTTCACTGTAGGTCCCTATGTTTTGTGAGATTTTAAACTGGGCTTACAGCTGCTAGGAAGTGTGTGATGCAAGATCAAAAAGAACGGGGAAGCTCCTGGGCAGGGTGAGAAGCTCTGCATCAGGTGGACAAAGTGGTGGCCAGATGCTAAGCATAACTGCAATGAGATCTGCTGGGAGTCCAAGCTGAGTTTTCAAAGCACTTCTCTCTCTAGGATCTGGTGCCACTGCAGGAAAAGCACACGCTGCTCCCCCATGAGGAGCGTACTGTGAATGGCTCCAGCGAGGGAGACGCAGGCAGGCAGACCGGCTGACAGACAAGTGCAGCCACAAGGTGCTCAGAGCAGAGCCAGAAAGGCAGGCGTGCACGTGGAGGGTGAGAGACTGAGACGGGGGAAGGCCAGCGAAGAGAGAGGAAGAGAAGGGAGGAGGGGGAGAGAGGGACAGTGACAGAATAAGAGCGCAGTCTTCGGCCATCTTCCCCCTTGTGGCTTGAACACGTGACATGCCCAAAGGCCAGGGCTGGGTAAGGAGGCAAGGCAAGGGAGAACAGCGCTATAGATTTCCCCAAATGGAAAGCAACCAAGAATACTGAGCTTATGAATTTAAATTCATGCTGAAATTTTTTAAAAATTAAGTATTAACACACAGGTATACATCAAGAGAAGTTCAAAGCTAATTTTTTATGTCATAAATACTGCTTTGCAAAGAACTAAAAATACTTATAATACACAAGTGTTAAAATTAAGGCAGTAACCTAAAAAGTAGTCAAAGCAAACTGTAACTTCAAATGCTATCAAGCG